TCTCCGGGCAGTGAGGACGTAGGGGTGTTACGCTCCAACCCCTCGACTCTCCCTTTCATCGCACCGCTAAAACCAGCTCACCAATCAACTAAAAACCGCCGACCTATTGCAAATTTTTCCCGGACGATACAGAAAAGGTTTTTAAATTAGTGTTTTGAAAGAGTTTACGTTTTATAAAGCCCATTTCGAGGTTGTTGTTTTTTTCTCAGACAATATACCTTTTTAACTAACTCACCTAAGTAATTCAAAGTAACGTCTTGTTTACGAGGCAATTACACAGACGAATCAACTTGTTTATTCTACGATCCAATCATCTAATTCCTCAACCAATCGTGATTCAACTGCCGAGGGTCGTTATATATCTCCTCAACGACCCAATTCCACTTCGGTAACCACTTCTCCTCCAATCGTCTTCAAACTGTCGTCAATTAGCTCCTCTTCAAACTGCTCGGCTGTATTGCCTCACCCCAACAACACTGAGAGAGTTCAACCACGTCTACATAATCAACCAACCAACCAACCAAACCAACCACTCAACCAACCAGCCGACTAAGCAATAACCAGCCAATCAACCAATCAACTAACCAATCACTCGACTAACCACTAACCAGTCAACCAACCAAACCAACCTGCCGACTAACCACTAACCAACCACTCAACCAACCAACCACTCAACCAACCAATCAACCAACCACAAGAACCGGTTCGTTTCTCCCCTTTAAACCACAAACCTCTTGGAGTATTTATAGAAGTCACACATAGGAAAACACTAACTCCACTTAACATGCTAATATCACTGTACTTATTTTCTTAACAAATTCCTACATAAGTATAAAGTTTCCTTATTTCCTCTGTTTGTTTTTATTACCGGGAAACTTATTTAAAAAATTTTTCCCTTCTTTCCCTTCTAGATGTGAGAAAAATTGTGGTTAAGAGTTGTAGAAATTGTGGTTAAGAGTTGTAGAAATTGTGGTTAAAACCGATGACAAAAAATAATGTCAAAAACTCATGGTAGTGTGTAAACCAAAAACAGTGTTGCCACATCATCCCATTACAAGAGACCCCGAAAAATATTGCCAGAAAAGTCAAACTCTTAAAAAAAAAAAAAAACTATAAACTCTGAGGGATTTTCGTGTTACAGTTGAGGAAAAGTTTGAGGTGAATGAGCGTGACCAGAGTGTACCGCTCACACCATTATCAACTTGTTTATTTGTTGACCTCAAACTCCGTCGTGGGTGAAGTGAGTACGTCAGTGAATCTTTATATAGAAAAAACAAAAACTATAAATCTCAAATCATCTGGGAAAATTTTAATTGACTCAAAAAAAAGGACAAAAAAAAACAAGAATCTTAGTTAATTGACATAGATTTTTACATCTTCTCCGTCACGGGTGAAGTAATTAAGTCAATAACTCTATGTAAAAATATGTAAATTAACCCTCATACAACATCGGTTTGGAAATTCTTTGATCATAAACTCTGGGAAAAAAAAAGTGAACTTGGGAAAAAATTAATAAAATTGAGACAACTCCTTCACGGATGACATCAATAAATAAACAAAACTCTACAGAAGAACGATAAATATATAAATTAATTCCTACAAAACTACAAAACTGTGGAAACTTTCGTCTTTAGGAGAGAATCCCAGGCTCTTCTTGTCCACTCACACACACACACTGGGTCACCACCTTCCTCCACCACGTAAGTAAATAAACAGTTTTCTAAAAGTACTCTAAAATGTAATCTAAAAAGAACTCTAAAAAGTACTCTAAAATATAATCTAAAAAGTACTCTAAAATATAATCTAAAAAGTACTCTAAAATATAATCTAAAAAGTACTCTAAAATATAATCTAAAAAGTACTCCAAAATGTAATCTAAGAAGTACTCTAACACGTAAGTAAATTAAAAACATCTCACCATTGGTCCATATTATTTGGTGATTCTGGTGAGCTGATCTGATTGTAACATACACTAATTCCTTCCTGGCTATTGGCTTTGTGTATATCTGCTCACACACACACACATACACACACACACACACACACACACACACACACACTTAGCATAAACAAACCAACGAAACATTTATATTAAGCTCCAATAGAAAATAACTTTGGAATATTTTCTCAAGTGGAAAACTCTATTGAAAGTTTACAATTTATTCTTGGGAAACATTCGAGTGTAAACCGCGTCTATTTAAATGTTAATAAAACTCGGTATGTAAAAAAAGTGTGTAAAAAATTGTAAAAAAGGTGTGTAAAAGGCTAAAAATATTGTAAAAGATTGTAAAAAAGTGTGTTAAAGATTGTAAAAAAGTGTGTAAAAGACTGCATAAACGTGTGTAAATGTGCATAGGTGTGTATAAAACTGTGTAAATGAATATGTAATAGTGAGTAAAAGTGTGTAGATGAGTGTGTAAAATAATATGTGAAAGATGTGTAAAAGAATGTGTAAAAAAAATGTGTAATAGCGTTTAAAAATAGTGTAAAATTTTGTAAT